GACTGTAGTGCATTTTGAAAATATAATGAATATTGGATACTATAAGAAACAACATTTTTCCATGTAAAAAATAGAATGCGGGTCATACGGGTGACCCGCAATCCACCCGCCATCCACCCACATAAGTGCGGGTGGGAGATTTAACAATCCGCAATCCACCCACATCAATCACTCATTGCATGTGGGTCGGGTTATTTGCGGGTGGATCGATATCAATCCGCGGATTAACCACCCACGTGCCCACCCCTAACATCTATTGTGGTTAATGTGGGTTACAAAGTATTTTGAAGAAATAAATATAACTAATGTGGTTAATGTGGGTTTTGTGGGTTAACGGTTGTGGGTAGTGGTTAACCACTAACCACAAAAATCAATATTTTGCTATCCACACCCAACCCACCATCCACAAATTGTGGGTATGGGTATCCACAAAGTGTGCGGTTTGCTGTGGTTTGTGGGTTACCCGCAAACCAAACTTCCACCCCAGTTGTGCCTATGAAAGTCCATGTTAATCTGGACAGTCCGGACCTGGCCCAACTCTTTAAGTCCTTTGTTGTTCTGTCTGTGTCAAACCATGTCAAAATGGGCCAGCCCATGTGTTTCTAACTAGTTCAGTTCAACCCAATATAAAATTGAAAATTTTAAAAGAAATGTGTAAGAAACAAATCAAGCTGCTCATTGCTTGGTCCAAGTTATTGGGTTTAAGGCCTCTTGATGGTCCAATTATTTTTGGGTAGGAAGAGGTAAGGAAGAGGCCAAGAGGGAAGGAAGTCTAGGACAAAGGAAGAACGAATGTGAGGAGGAAGAGCAAGTGAGTGGTCCAATTAATAAGGAAGAAAGTGTATTTGAAAAAAATTAGATTTAGGCCCGCCCGTCGGCCGGATGAATAACATTAATAGTATAAAAAGATTAGTAAATGTATGAACATAAGTCTTCATCATAAGAAAAAAACACAACTCATGAAAATGAACCAATTTCTAAAATATAGCACTTAACGCACTTCAATTTACTCCTCAATGTAAAAGATTATTTCAAATTTTCTTTTGAATTTTTTTAATTGCACCGCCATCAAAATTATTATTTTTTTCACGCAACTTCATCTTCACTAATGACTAATTAGACCGTTATGTTCACAATGCATCAGTAGCCTCTTTCTTTTCTCATACATTTCATTAAAATTAAACTTTAATTGTAAAATGTTTGTAAATGTGAAACATCATTTTCAAGCTATTGAAATTTACCTCATTCAAGTGATCAATATTATGTTTGTCAAAAAACAAAGTGATAAAAATACAACGGCTCGCTCTTTCCTCAATAATTGAAAATTTCATATTCACCATCATTAACCTCTATCTTCTTCTCAACGACGTCATTATCTTCATTATAGAATCCACCACCTCCAGCATTTCACTAAAAGCAAAAATCAAGTGCTAAATTTCTTGCAATTGTATAACACCATTTTGGAGAAGTTAAATTTCATGCTCAATCAAAATGAAACCGTCAAACTAAATTTGTATAAGCATAATTGATCCAATTATTGCGAAAAAATTATTAAAATCCGAAAAGTTAGTAAGAAAATGGATATTATAGCCCTGTTGTATGTTTTACAAACACAACTTTGGTCTGACCATTGGTCGGTTCAGATGTATTTTGTTAATAGCATAAATAATAATATAATTTTATGTCATAAGATGTATGTTCAATTGGTAACATGGTTTGATCAACCCTTTTGTAATTTTTACAAACGAAGTGATGGAATGGTTAGAGTTTCTTCGATAGGTCCTCTCTCATTAGCTTGTCAGTTATTCCTTCGATTGGGCTTTCACTAATGAGTATCGACTCTCGACTTACAATTCTCCACGGTTGTTGATTTCAATGGGTTCTTAATCCTTGAATATGACTCTATATTATAGATTCTCTATCATGTAATATATTTCTATGACGGTGTCTTTCGAGTCCTCAATAAAGATTAGTCATGTTTCTACCAAAATATTTATGAAGAATTGTCAATCATTTAATCAAACCTAAGACTAAATATCTTCAATTTATGGGTGCAAGTAAATTTTTTTCACTTGTTTCATGTCTCGACAAAAGATTAATGTAAGGCTCACATACCACATTGGATAACAAAATAGTGTAGATCATGCCAAGACAGTAAACCTTGGTGAAATTAGAAGCAGTTTTAGGTGAGTTAGATTTTTTACAGTTTTGAACGATGGAACCAAGCTATTGCACATGCCTCAATTAAGATTTTGCTTTTGTTCACATTTGAATTGTGGAATAAACCTCCATATATAACATCTTCTTCGTAACCCTTTTGTCCTCACAACTTTGTTTTTTGGATGAAGGTGAATTTCTTTTGTCCTCGAACTTAATCTCTATATCTAAAACCAAATGCTTAAAAGTGAATTTTAAGACAGTAAAACAGGTAGCTATAGCGTCATTATTCAGCTACATATAACCAAATTGAGCCCCAGCTCTCATTCTCAAGGATTAAATTTGTTTTCAATTTATTATACAATATGGTAGAATTTATCTGCATTTTCAAATAATTTTTTCATTGATAATTTATTACAATAATGATCAATAATTGAAGTTTAACTTAAGTATCAATCTCACTACTTTTAGAAATTCTACTTGGTCAGAATCAGGAACCACAATATTTGAGACACCAATTATTCATTGTCATTATTCTACTATATATATATATATATATGTGTGTTTTGCAGAGGAGATCATTTAGCCTACGGCCGGAATAGTGTACGAAGTGGGAAAAAAAGGAATAAACCACAACCCAACCCTAAAAACTAAAGCTAGAAACCGGATTCCCCCAAAAACAAAAATTGGAAGCCCAACACATACACATAATCATGTAACTCTGAACTTCTACGACATTATATATTGTAGAAAGACTGTTTTAGTACTACAATGAAATGTTGAATTTGCACTATTGATTTAAAAAGATGGTGTAAGAATTATGGATCTAGACATCTTTGTATAGGGTTCAACAATTGCAGGATAATAGGAGAATTGAAAAATTGGGAGATTGAGAATTAGAAGAACAGAACTTAGGGAAGGATTTCGAGACAGAGAGAGAAAGAGAAGGGAAAAGTCGAAGAAGAAGAAGAAGAGAGGGAAAGAGGAGGGGTTCAGTCTAGCCTAGGGAGAAGGAGGACAAATTTAGAATTTTGTTTAACGAGAAAAGTCTCCACAATTACAGAATATAAATCACACTATTCCTACTAGCTACTCATACTTTAATATAATAAAAAAAATACCAAATTAACTCCCCAAAACATCCAAAATGCATACAAAGTCGCAAAACATAAAACAAATCGACAAACTATCGCAAAAGTCGGTTTATGAAATTCCTTCCTCCTTGACCGGCTCCTCCTTTGTTAGCGTTGCCTTCCTCTGTTGCTAGTTCATCCGGCTCATCCTCCAGATTGCCCATTAGTAGTATCAAGTGAACAAATCTCTTTTAATATATCATACATTCATACTAGACAATCATTCACAATTGATTGCCCATTCGATTATGAATTGTCTGAGCAGAAAAGTCTCAAATTTTATAATATCCACTCATGATATTTTTTTAGTTAATCTTAACTCATACTGTCGTAGAGAGTTTTGAAGTCTTTTCTTTTAGTTGTGGTTTATAAAGTATTTAACTAAGATATTATGTCAGAATTTTTAATGAAATCTATACATTATAATATTATAAATAAACAAACGATTTTCAATGTTTAGTCTAACCTTTAATCGATAATTCGTTATGTTTGAACTAAACCTAAATCAAAGTAGTCAAGTTTATATGTTTTTGTGAACTGTGAATTTCAGCTACATATGAACTATTCTACCGTTCAAAAATAAATTTTAATTGTCGACCTATTTATGGTATCAATTCGTTTATCAAATAGGTAACCAGTTCGTGGAGAGGGAATAGGAGCAGGAGCTAGAGCATGAGAGCGGCTTCTTACAAGAGTTCAAGATAGAGAGCGTTGTTATTATTATACTAGTTTTAATTAATCTTTTATATATTTACGTTGTAATTAGTACCAAAATAGTATGTATCATAATGATGAATAAAATTTATATAGAACACAGAAATGATAAAATGGAGTGATCTTTTTTAAATTTGATTTTTTTTACTAATATCTCTAATAATAAGTATTGTATCTTTGAAAAAAAACTAATAATTTATCTCTAATAAATAATCATTTTATTTTATTCTTTTTTTATCTAACTTCCTATAACATCCCGAACCTTTTTCCAACGAAGATATTGTCTGTTTTGGGTCTCGACCCTCACGGTGTTCGACTTGGGGTGCAATTCAGGGTGACTTCCCATAAGGTCACCCATCCTTGTTGTACTCCACACGGAGCACGTTTAACTTCGGAGTTCTCACAAGAACTTCTCCATTACACCCCAAAATGCGTCTTGTCAGTTAATGTTGGTTTCTTACTTATGAACCATGGATCTCTCCCGTGCTTTGTCGATGTGGGATTTGCCTAAGGTGTTACATACATGACCCCCCCCCCCCTCCCTCTTGGGACTCAACGCCCTTGTTGAGGTTTGGCCCACCATCGTTCAAGAGGGACGCGGAGAGACTCTGATACCACTTGTAACATCCCTAACCTTTTTCCAACGAAGATATTGTCCGCTTTGGGTATCGACCCTCACGGTTTTCGACTTGGGGTGCAATTCAAGGTGACTTCCCATAAGGTCACACATCCTTGTTGTACTCCACACTGAGCACATTTAACTTCAGAGTTCTCACAAGAACTCCTCCATTACACCCCAAAACGCGTCTTGTCAGTTAAGGTCGGTTTCTTACTTATGAACCATGGATCTCTCCCGTGCTTTGTCGAAGTGAGATTTACTTAAGGTGTTACACTTCCTCTCTTCGCCTTAGTTGCACACGCGCCACACCAACAATATAGATCTTTTCCATAAAAAAAACAATATATATCTTTATCCAACTCCCTCTATTGTCTCTCTCCCCACTCTAACTCTGCCTCCTCTCCTACCCAGAAGAGCAAGATAAAGCTCTATTTTTTTATTTGTTCTTCTGACCATCTCCATAAGACCATAACTCTCTTCTCTAACCATGTACACGTTTTTCTCCCAAATCTCAAAAATATAACAACAAATCCATAAACATGAAGGTAGCCTACATGCCTCTTCGGGGACTTTATTAAAATTGATTTGCACCATTGCTTCATGAGGGGATTTCCTATGTCTCCGGTTTTCTTCCAACGTCTTACTCAAATCTTGCACCTCGAATATAGCCTCTATGGTTAGTCGAGTGCACACCGGACTGTGAGCTTGATCAATGGTGAAAGGCAGAGGAGGCAGATTTGCTTGGTTTGATATGCCCATACCATGGCCGCCTTAAGTAGCGTTCGCGATGGGTTTTATCCTCAATCTTTTTCATAAATTCATTCAACATTCCTCTGTCCACCAGACCCTAAATCTTGAATTTCAACTGGTAGCAATCAGGTGTGTGGTGTACCTTTTCTCTATGAAATTCAAAGTATCTATCTTGGTTGTGCTCATTAGGTTGTCCGTGCAATGGACAAGGTGAACACACCATAATTACACATGTTTATTACTTCAATTATTGATCGTTTGACTTTGGTTTCTTGCATCTCAGGAAAATTTTACGCTTGATATTTTGACTTTGGTTTCTTGCATCCTCTGCACTTCATAGAATCGACATTTTAAAACACGGCCGAGTTTTCTAGGTTAGAGGCCGTGTTTTTACGTCTGTGCGGGTCTTATTGGAGAGGAGCTCATATTTTTAAGGGACCGACTTTTGACAGCAAAGCATAGTTCTAGAGAGAAAAAATGACAAAGAACAAGACCTAGGAGCTATTTGGAGCTGATTTCTCATCATTGAAGCCTGAATTTTGTCCCAAGGAGTGAAGATTGATATCCCATAGCAGATTATACAAATCTCCATTAGCATGGCAGCTTTGTACTTCGTTTTCCTTTCTCTCTCTTTATGGAGTAGACCTCCTTCTTACTTGGGTATGTAGAACCCTAGTTCAATGTGTTAGGGATCTTGTTTGTAATGTCCTTTGGATGCTATACTGGTTGGTTTTAATCAATTGAGGCATGATTTGTTGAGCAAATTGGATCTTGATCACATTCTTTTGATTTCTACTTTGACCTATGATAGATATAATCTGATTAGGTTAAGAGAGCTTCCTCAATTGATAGTAGTGAATTGGTCGTGCGAGAGTCAATCAATTCACTGCTTTGTACTGGAATTTATTCCCATGTGTTCTCAAATATCATCACGAGATGAAAGCACATATCGATCTAGGGTATAGTATTAACGCTATGCCTTTTAACATTTGTAGATCGCTTGACATATACAAATTAGAGAGCATAAATATGTTCATTCCCTAGGCCGACAACCCGGTTTGTGAACCATTGGGGATGACAAGGGATTTGAAAGTAGAGATAGGAACTTTCGTGTTCTCCCTCGACTTTGTAGTACTCGATATGAGCAGGGACGATAAAGACTATACCCTCTTTGGGAGACCCTTCTTAGACACTTTTGGTGCATTGATTGACATTCATAAGCATCAAATTATGATGAGAATCGACAATGCAAAGTATACTATCCAGATGATTACTCCAGAAGACAAGAAGGAGGAATACGATCGACAATCAAAGATCTACATCGTAGAATCTGATTGTGACTCCTCAGAAACTCCTATGCCCGACTATGGGAAAGGTTTCGACTAGACACTTCCAATCGATATGGAAAAAGAGCTTGAATTCCACACTAGGGAATGCAACGAGGGAAATTTGCTATCCCCAGATAGCAAGCGAGATTTCAAGTTGATGATGTGTATTTTACGTCAATATTTACGAGTCACCTAAGACTCTCAACTTTTCATCCGATCCAGTCCTCGATTCACCTGTCCCGGATGATCACTTTGGAGAATGGCCCCTAGACCTTTATTGGTCTAATCAATAGAATAGGGCACTAGCGATGCCTAGCTCAAAGGCATTAAAGAGAGGGCTTTACTTGGGAGGCAACCCATCTCGTCTAACTTAAAGTCACTAAAGAAATCATTGGTTTCCACATGCATCTTCACAACAACTTCGTTGTTTTTTACCCTATTAATATCCTTCATTCGAATCCTTGTTTATGCATAAGCGATACCATATGTTTGCTTGCATTTCAGACCTTTGAGCTTCATATGCCCATTTGACGTGTACTCGTAATGTGTTGGCTCTTATTCTTTCCTCTCCATATTTTTAGAGTTTACCCTTATTAATGTATGTCGCTATGGAGTTGGGAAGGGTAAACATAGTGGAGAGTGACCACTTGGTGTAGTGATTGATCATTTTGTGTATATAGATCGAGGTTCGAGCCCTATACATGTTCCATGACACATTTTAAGCATGTGTAGATGTCTTGATCGACATTGGTTTAAACTTTCAAATCTAAGCACCTGTATCGATTCGACATGGAATGAACTAAAGTGTGGGGTAATCGATTGGGCATCACCCTATGTGACTTTCTCTTCACAATCGAATCACGTTGATACATGATGGTATCTTAGCAAGCCCTATCATTCCACTCTTCGACTTTGGGGAGTGAGGGATTCGCCATTTCACCATCATACATTTCAATGCCACTATGGCCTTGTCTTTGGAAAGTCACCTAGCATTGTCGCTCTCTACTCTTTTTGAGTTGGATTGGATTGCCTAGAGAGAGCCATTTGGGAGAACCTCTTAGGTTTTGCCAGTAGAAGAGGAGGTGACACACTTGCTCTCTCCGTCTTACACTTTCTTTTGCTCGTAAAAACCAAACATCAAAGGAACTAGCCGGTTAGACTGGATTCTCTAAATTATGGTAACTTCGTCCTACTTTTTTCCTACCACCTTGTGAGGTCCAATGAGGACATTGTTCCATTTAAAGTGTGGGGCGGGGTTTAGGTAGACTGGTGTTCATTTGATATACCATGTTCCGATTGTTCATGCATATGGGAAAGGGTGCTTCATACCTAAACACGTAAAAATTACATGAATCTCACTTTGGAGGAAAAATTGTTGTGGGTAACTGCCTTTTCACGCCTGTGAGCGTCTTCACGGCCAAGTCTTTGGCCGTGAATATCTCGATATATTTAATCCCAATTCCTCAAATTGGGAATTCCCATCCTATTTTTCACGGTTTGGCTCACAACCGTGAGGCGGCCCTTGGGAAGCATGGGACGACCCTCCAAAGGCAGTCACATGCGTATTATGTTACGAGGAATAAATTTTCTGTGTGTATTTGCGCAGAGAGATTATGCCTCGTGTCATGAGCTTGGTGTCTGATGTCAAGGGCCAAACGTGGAATGTCACGGTCTAGGCCATGAATTCTAACTCCTGGCAGGACTTTTGAGTCTCGGTCACCATTGTCTCCTTTTGGCCTCCAAATAACCAAAACTCGGTCATATGCCATATCCACGTACTTGGACCTGAAATATGACAAAAGAAGTACAACCTAGCGTAAAATAGACCAAGGAACGACCAAAACAAAGCCAAACAATTAAGAATGAGCATCTAAAACATGTATGATTATGCACTAATCACTTGCCATATTCAAAATTACCCAAAGTCGACTTTGTGGGACATTCCGTTGTTAGATATCATATTTATCCACATAATTGTTGATCACGTATAATTTTGATCCACACAATTGTCGACCACAGACACATTTGTCTATATGTAGAAATGTTGGTCATTTCATGGCGATCCATAAAACAAACTATAAAAATCACATCTTCTAATCATGCAAAAAAGTAGTAGTACATGAGGCAAGTAGTTAACATGTTTGGTTGAGATCCATGATTAAAAACATCAAAGAGACCTGTGGCAGTTCTCTTTGTGTGTGTTTGGATAGAATGATTTGAATTTGGTATTTGTGATTTGGATTTCTAAATGTCAAATAATTTGTTTGAATATTAATAACATTTGATATTTGGATTTGTACCAAATTCACGGGGTGATTTCCAAATACATGTCTAGTGTATTTCCGTCAACTTTAAATACATTTCAACAACTAGTGTTTTGAAATCTCTCCTAACAAACGATTGGACCTATTTGTAAAATTTTAAATTTTATGTACTATAGTGTGAGATAAAACACACAAAGTACCAAAACTTAATTTTACCACCAAATTTCTTGACCTTTTGTAAAATTTTAATTGTAGGTACTAAATAGTAAAAAAAATTGTGCATCAGAAAGTAATTTACCAAAATTTGTAGTAAGTGACCAGAAAATTCAAAATTAAAATAAAAAATCATAAAATTTGAAATACAAACAAATTACAAATGAGTATCCAAACAAAGAATTTGAATTACATGTATTTCAAATGTTAGTATCAAATACATGTATACTAGTTTTCTTGCCCGCGCTCCGCTTCGAGACGGGTACGAAAATTTAGAGGATCCTTGTCACAACTTTCATGTGCACAAAGGAGAATTGTCCGACATCCACAAAGGGACAATTTTGGAACAAAATATAGAAGTACCATAACATCACAATTATTATGAAATTAAAATGCCAACCATTAACTAAAAATGTCATTTTATAGGCCACAGCAAATACACCTAATTACCAAGTTAAGGAGATTTTACACGACAAAATAAATACATCAGCAAGTAGCCAAAACCAAATTATTTTACAGGCCATGCATGAGCACCTACTTGCACTCGGTGTAAATAAGAACTTCATCAATGATAATACATCCAACCAAGAATGGTACATAACATAACCTATTTTCTTGAGCCATCCAAGTTTCAACCACACCAATCCCACAGCAAATGCAAAAAACACTTGTGATGAATAAACATGATATAACTTAAAATATAGATAAACAGCAGGATGCATTAAGTAGAAGATCCGTAGGTTTGAATCTAACTCCCAACCGAGAGTAAGAGATAGATGCATCTGAGTAGAGTTTCTCCAACTTGGTTCCCTTTCACCGACCGTAAGAAAAAAGCCAGTGAACATAAGAGGTCACTGAAATAATCCAAAAACTCTTTGAACCCCACATACCCTCTATACGATCAACCCAGAGCGGCAATCATCAGTCTTCCCCTTCTTAATTCAGAAACTCATCTATCATCAATGCTTCCATGGTAAATTAAAGGACTCGGCTCTGGTAAAAATTCCCTGTAATTGAAACGAAATAAGAGGCATTATTCCACTGTAACAAAGAAAGATGGAAGGAAAAGTAGTAAAAGTATACATCTCAAAGTCACCTGGCCAACGCAGGACGTTTGAAGAAAAATCCCCAAATCCAATTTTGATCCACCAAAACTTGCGAAACGTTCGTCCATTCATCGTTCTACACCCACAGGAATCGAATCGGTAAAGTAGACAGCCTAAGGAAGGAACCGAGCATCAGCAGCAAAAAGAGAATAAAAAAAAAAGCCATCACAGGAAGGAGATTGAGAGATTATAAACTGTAGATCTATTTGCTCCTCATCATAAAAAAAAACCCACCTGAACTAACACCCTTTCTTCCTTCTGCATGCTTGAACTGGAACCGACGACCACCCAGATCGCATGATATATCCCTTTCAAAACCGAACCGCAAGTATTGGAGAGAGCATAGAAAACAAACTCATAAGAGTGATGAATCATCCGAAACCAAAGGAAACAAATGAAGATCTGTGGCTTCTCTTAGCTGGTCAGGAGAGAGAGAGGAAGGGAGAACAGACAGTCACCTTGAACCAAAAAGTGAATGTGTGGATCTGGACCTGAACATCTCCGCTGCGGCGAAACCGAGGTGAAGAGCCACCGCCACAATTCTGTTTGGTCGATTTCGTCGGATAAGGATTTGAAATTGTGCATCTCTCCCACACTAAGAATATTTTAGGAAGAGTAAAGATTGGGGAAATTGCTCATACTGAGCTTTCCATTGAGCAGAGAACTTATACACTTTACAGAGTAAAAGCAGCAAAAAGGGATCTACCTAGCCGTTAGTTTCACTGTAAACTATAGACAAATCAAGGCTTTACACGTGTTAGACTATACAGTAAATAAACTAACTAATCAAACCAAACGGTGCGTTGCTTCTCTGCGTCGTCGTTTTCCTTTCCTTTGCTGACCCTGTTCTTCGCGGTTCATCAGGTGGCTCTCTTCTGCAACAAGGCCAGCAACCAGCAACTATCTTCTCGATTCCTTGATCATCAGGAACATGAACATCATCATCTTCCATGTTCCTTGTTACCCTCCCACAAGCTGGCGAGTATAGATTATATACTCCCAGCTTGGACAACAACATAAGGAATCGATCTATTGACAAACTCTTTGTAAATATATCAGCCAACTGTAACTCTGTGGGAATGTAATGAAGTGTGATCATACCAGAATTAACTCTCTCCCTTATAACATGGCAATCCACTTCTATGTGCTTTGTCCTTTCGTGAAAGACAGGATTTTCTGCAATATGAATTGCAGATTGATTATCACAATAAATTGGCACTGCTGCATTGTGTGAAATCCCAAAGTCTTCAAGCAATCTGATCAACCACTGCACCTCACAACTTAGGCTAGCCAATGCCCTATATTCTGCTTCTGAGGATGAACGAGACACAGTAGTCTGCTTCTTGCTTTTCCAACTAATTAATCCATCTCCAAGGAAGGTACAATAACCTGTAATTGACCTCCTTGAATCTGGACATGTGGCCCAATCATTGTCACTGTACCCCTTCAACTGCAGGTCTGCATTTTTGGAGTACAACAACCCTTGACCAGGTGAACCCTTCAAGTACCTTAAAACTCGATGCAAAGCCCTGAGATGTGATGTGGTAGGGTTGTCCTGGTATTGACAAAGTTGTTGTACAGCAAATGTAATGTCAGGCCTTCTGGTGGTTAAGTATTGCAACTGCCCCACAAGGTGCCTGTACTCACTGATGTCATCTAGAGGTTCACCTCCTGTGGATGACAGAACTTCCTTGATGAAAATAGGTGTAGGTGCAGGTTTACAATCCTCAAAACCTGACTCAGAAAGAACATCCAAGCAGTACTTTCTTTGAGAGACTGTTATACCTTGCTTTCCTCGAGTTACTTCAAGTCCAAGGAAATAGTTCAACTCTCCCAAGTCCTTCATTTTAAAATCAGCATGCAGCATGTCCTTGACAGTGTTAATAGCATCTAAACTTATGCTTCCAAGAACAATATCATCAACATAGACAATCAAAACAACCAACTCATCCAGAACTTTTGCAGTGAAGATTGAATAGTCACAAGGTGATTGTTTGAAACCATGTTTAATCAAGCTTTCTGTCAATTTTGCATACCACTGCCTACTGGCCTGCTTCAAACCATACAAGGATTTTCTCAGTTTACATACCTTTCCTTTGTACTTTCCAGTTGGATCCAAACCTGGTGGCAACACCATGTAAACTTCCTCAGATAAATCTCCATTGAGAAATGCATTGCTAACATCCATTTGATGTAAATGCCATCCCTTCACTGCAGCAACTAATAACAACATTTTAACTGAAGCCATTTTTGCAACAGGTGAGAAGGTGTCACAATAATCTATCCCATAAACCTGTGTATAACCCTTTGCAACTAATCTGGCCTTGTATTTGTCAATTGTGCCATCTGACTTCAGTTTCAATCTGAACACCCATTTATTGCCTATGGCATGTTTACCCTCTGGCAAGTCTGTGATTTCCCAGGTTCCATTTTCAAGTAAAGCATGAAGTTCTGCTTTCACAGCTTCATTCCATTCTGGATGCTCAGAGGCTTCAATATAAGTTCTTGGTTCAGCATGAGTAATCAAGGAATTCACAAATCTTTGTAGTCTAGGTTGCAGATGTGAATAACTGATACTCTTGTGCATTGGATACTGCACATCATAATCAGCATGCCACACTGGAGGTTTCAGATTCCTGGAGGTTTTTCTGAGAGGAATAGGGGGATCTTCATGGGGAGAAGGAGAAGGAGAAGGAGAAGAGTGTAACTGAGAAGGAGAAGAAACAGGTGAAGGTGAAGATGTGGGAGAAGAGCTGAAAGAATTATCAGGCATATCTGGTGATGGAACTTCAGCAGGTTCATCAGACTGTGAAAAAGGTGAAAAAGGGATGGGGGTTGAGCTCCCCCCCTCAGGCTGATGATATGATGAAGTTTCAAAGTCAAAGGGATCAGAAGGTGAAGGAAATTGGAAATCAGGAGGAGGTGTATTGGATTGTGTTTCAGTGGTAGAATGTTTGTAGGGAAGGATGTGTTCATAGAACACTACATCTCGAGAGATGAACACCTGTTTAGTGTTTAGATCAAGTAATTTGAACCCTTTTATTCCTGCAGGTATTCCCAGAAAGATACACTGCTTGGCTCTAGGGTCAAATTTAGTTCTAGACTGTCCTGATGTGGCTGCATAAGCCAGACATCCAAAAACCCTTAGGTTGGCATAATCTGGTGGCAACTGATGTAAAACTTCAAATGGAGTTCTGTTTTGAAGGATAGGTGTGGGAGTCCTATTGATCAGATAGGCTGCATGTAACACAAAATCACTCCAGTATAAAAGAGGTAAGCCAGACTGGAATTTCAAGGCCCTTGCCACATTTAGGAGGTGTTGATGTTTCCTTTCAACCCTACCATTCTGTTGGGGAGTGTAAACCACACTCATTTGATGAATGATTCCATTAGCCTGATAGAAATCATTCATGTGGAATTCCTGACCTTGGTCAGTTCTGATGATTTGAACACTTTTACCAAACTGTGTTTTGGCCATAGAGCAGAAAGATTGAAGTAAAGGCCTAGCCTCATCTTTGTGTTTCATGAGGAAGGTCCACACACATCTAGAATGGTCATCAACAACAGTCAAAAAATAACTAAAACCATTGTATGAAACTGTATTCAATGGCCCCCAAATATCAGCATGAACTAATCCAAAAAGAACAGGATTGACAGAATTGCTGGAAGGGAATGGAAGCCTTTTCTGTTTGGCTAGGTGACAAACATCACAGTGAATGTGTCTAGTAGCTATTACATCAGAAAATTGTTTGCTAATAGCTTGAAGTCTAGAAACATGGGGGTGGCCAAGCCTGGAATGCCATAAATCAAAAGACTGGGACTGGAAGTTGTAAGTGGTGGCTGCAAGACACTTGGCAGGTGAGTTTGGACTTGGTGTCTTGGTGAAGAGGTAAAGTCCTCTATCCACTTGGGCTAAACCAATCCTCTTATGTGTAATAAGGTCCTGAATAACACAGTAAGAGGATTGAAAGGTAAGTGAGACAGGGTTCTGTTTGGTTAATTTACTGACTGAGACTAGATTGTAACTGAACATTGGGACAAAGAGGACTTGTGAAAGAAACAAGCCACAAGGCAGTTGGACAATCCCTATGTGTGTGGCCTTTACCTGTACTCCAGTTGGTAAAGTAACAAAGACATCTTCTACTGCTCTATACTTACTGAAATACTTGGCACTACAGACAATGTGGTCTGTAGCACCAGTATCTAACACCCATAAGGGTTCTCCAGATGAAGCAATCAAGGTGGAAAGAACAGTGGTACCTGAACTTGAAGGAAGGTAGGGTGCAGCAACAGGTGGCCTATGTCCAGGTACAGCTCTGGTTACTGCATTAGCAGTGTGAACTGAAGGTGAACTGGGAGGTGATGGAGATGGTGATGGTGACTTTGATAGCAGTAGTTTAAGCCTCTCCATCTGATCCTGAGTGAAGATGCCCTCCAATCCAGTTTGTCCCTTGCTGTCAATTGAACCAGAAGAGTTCTCCATTGGGTAAGAACTTTCAATTGAACCAGCAAAAGCACCTTCTGTAGCTTCCCTTGCCTTCTTATTCTTTAGCTTGAAGCAATCCTTGATCAGATGCCCTTCTTTCTTGCAATAGGAACATATTTTCTTCCCATCTGGCTATTGTTGCCCTTTCCCTTTATATGGATTTCCACTGGAAGCAGCTGCTGCAAGGGCAAGGGTTTCTACACCAGAACTTCTATTCATCACTTTTAATTGTCGTTCCAATTGCAAGATCTGCTTAAAAACTATGTCAATGTGTGGCAGAGTAGGCATCATCAAGACCTGTGTCCTTGCTGACTGATAAACAGGATTCAGTCCTTGAAGAAACTTAATGACGAAGTCATTCTCTTCATACCTCTTCAAGGTTTCATATGGTCCAGGATTGCAAGGACAAACAGGTATGGGTCTGTACCTTCTGTGTTCTTCCCAAAGAACTGTAATATCAGTGAAGTATTGGCTAACAGATTTATCACCCTGAACACATTTTGAAAGTTGACCATTGAGGTCATAAACCCTGATGTTGTCTTCTTGACTGAATCGATTCTTTAGGTTATCCCAAACATCCTTTGCCAAGCCTAGTCTCATGACACTATTTGCTATATCATCTGACAGAGAGTTGTAAATCCAACAGCGAATGATGCCATTACAACGAGACCAGGACTGGTAGTGAGGATCTGTTACCTGAGGGACTGGGATACGACCATCGATGAATTGGGTTTTGTTCTTTGTGTCCAGAGCCAACATCATCACCTCGCTCCAGGTGTGATAATTGCCATCGCCAAGCTTGATGGAGATGATGGTGGACAGTGCACCATCCTGTGGAGGAAGATAGTACGGATTTAGGTATGGGTCTTCATACGAGGTCATAATGGCCTTATTTCTGTCGGAAGATTCAGATTTCTGAGCGGAGTCGTCTTCTGCCATTGTTGGTGCAGCAGAAGCTCAATGATGAAGTAAGAAATGGAAAGGGGAAAACGAAACAAAGTAGATCAACAAGGATGACGGATCTTAGCGTGATAACCAGGCTCTGATACCATAAGAATATTTTAGGAAGAGTAAAGATTGGGGAAATTGCTCATACTGAGCTTTCCATTGAGCAGAGAACTTATACACTTTATAGAGTAAAAGCAGCAAAAAGGGATCTACCTAGCCGTTAGTTTCACTGTAAACTATAGACAAATCAAGGCTTTACACGTGTTAGACTATACAGTAAATAAACTAACTAATCAAACCAAACGGTGCGTTGCTTCTCTGCGTCGTCGTTTTCCTTTCCTTTGCTGACCCTGTTCTTCGCGGTTCATCAGGTGGCTCTCTTCTGCAACAAGGCCAGCAACCAGCAACTATCTTCTCGATTCCTTGATCATCAGGAACATGAACATCATCATCTTCCATGTTCCTTGTTACACACCGCATAGACTTGGACATGCTGCATACAAAATCCAGAAAATAGAGAATTTAGCAAAAATGTTTGTCTACCTTTCAATGAGAGATTATGAGCGAGTCTAGAGAGAATCGAAGCTAGTCGAGATTGGAGAGGGAGAAGAGGGAGAAATCGAAAAGAAGAATGGGAAAATGCAAACAGACAGAAATGAATCAGCTGTTTTATATGATCTCTCACCTCCCACAGTCCCACTAAGCGGAGCTCTTGTTCCAACCTCGTCGTCTCTCTCCACTGAAATGTGATAATGAAAAGCCATCGAAGATCGGGCCCATCAGGTCACTTGTGCGGTAAGGAAAAATCTAACATTATTAAAAAAATAAAAGCAAATGAAATATCAGTCACCTCGGCGCATCAAATGAGAATCACATCTTCCACCCTCTCACTGCCTCAAATAGAGTCAAAAATTCCACCAGACCCTTCTGACAACTTCTCGGAACACAAAGGGACAAATTGGGGCTAACGAAAGGAGCAGATCGACCAACGCATCCATGGGACTAAAGAAGGAAGGCCAACCAGAAGTGTAACCAAAGTCCAAACACAACCAAAACCATCAAGTTCAATCACCAGACAACCAGAAGTCCCCTGCACCTCACCACACTGGATCCGCAGCCGAGTTGAAACAGTACGCATGAGTCTAGATGGACAGTAAAAGCTCTCTTGCTGCACAGTAATTGACTATGCTCGAGGATTTCTTCTTTCAATTAAATAACTTTATTTCAAAAAAATTACATTTGAAATACATCTATCCAAGTAGAGACGATTCCAACTATCATATATGAGGATAAAGCAACATGTATCACAAAATTGACGGAAGAATATATAACAGGGGATAGAAATAAACATATTTTGTCAATTTTTTATATTCACTGGTCATCATAAGAAGATTGTTACCATAAATATACTTAAGATTCATTAATTTGATAATATGTTAGATTTATTAATACAAAAAATCACTTCCTACTCCATACTCCAGATCAATGCGCGAGAGACTTAATTGTATTTAGCGATGTATCTACTACTCACGCCTCCGTTCACACTTATTATTCGTAATTTGATATATTTTGACGAATCAGAATCGTCGATTATTAGTTCGAGATTAAATGAATCTTATGGTTTGGATTATAGAATTAGGGATTGAGGTTAAGCCATTAGAGGTTAGGGTATATATAGTATCATTCCTCAATTTCAGTTAATTTTTTATTTAAGTCGCAAAACTCAATGGGCATATACGCCAGGCTTGATAGGGTTGCAAATGAGCTGAGTCGAGTCTAGTTTACCCCAGCCTAAGTTTGGCTCATTAATAAACGAGTTGAGCTGGAGTTAAGCTCGTTTATTAATTAGTCGAGTCGAGTTCTAGCTAGCTTACTTACTAAATAATGTCATTTTGTAAGTCATGTTTGATGCATGTGATTAACGTTAAGATGAAAAATGTTAAGTGTTCAATATTAACTAATCTCATGTTATACTTTGTGGTATCATATTATTGAGTTAATAAATTTTAACGATTCAAAATTGTGTTATTACTTAGTATCGAATCAATCTATGTTACATAATTTCTTTTTAAAATTAAATAAGAAATATTTGCTCACATAATCTACTTCTTAACTTTCATATATGGTGAGATATATAAGTTGACAATCCTAATTGTGTTATTACATAGTATCAAAGCCATCTATGATACATAATTTCTTTTTAAAATCAAATAAGATATATGTGCTCACATAATTTAGGTGTTAAACTTCATATATGGTGAGATATATAATTTCACGATCCTAGAAGTTATCAAAATCAAACTAATATAGATCGATTTGCTCATATAAGTCGATAATCGAGTTGGCTCTCTAGCCACAATATTGAGAGTTGAGACATCTCTTGAGCTCTAAACGAGCCAACTCACAAGTTGAGTTCAACAAGTCACCGAGTCGAGCTAGCTCGCGGGCTGTAGAAAACTTAGCTCAACCTGCCGAGTTTAGAACGAATTTTTGCCTAATTGAATACTGAGCAACTTGCTTAGCAGTTGGGCTCATTCGCACCGCCTAGGCTTATGCATGAAATATCTGCTGATCAAATACATCTAAACAAATTAAGTATATATATATATTTATATATATTCATACTAAGCTATTTGTGTTTGGATGTAAGTTTAAACTTCTTTAAAATGGACTTTCCATCACTCATGTTGTCTTCGCTTAGCATTCGGGATAATAAACAAGACACTTTCATTTATTTGATGATGTATGCGTTCTTCAAGGATAAATTAACATTGCGAATTTGGAAACTGATAGTTGGTTTTGAGAGCTTCTATATATATATATATCTCCAACATTGTATGTACTCTTTTGTATGAACACAAAAATTTCTTTTTTTTTACCAGAGGATATATAATCAGCAGAATCCAAAACTAAACTCGACAATAATTGTTCCACATAAAATCAGAAATACCCCATCATCACCAAAAAAACCCTAATAATTCCCCTTCGCCGCTTCAGTGGTGAGCCCAAACCCAAAGGGGAACAGCGGGTCATAATGTTTATCCCCAACATTCATAGGCAGCTGGTCGACACTCTTAAACCAAGTCCTGGGGAGCTTCCCAGTGAAGCCATAATCACCAAACAAGGCATCCGTCACACCTTGTCCTTCAGTTCCAGGGAGCCAAGCCGCAACCAGGCCGTCCATGGAGTCAACGTAAGGCTCCATCACCACAGGACGGCCAGAGATCAAGACGACCACGCATTTCACCGATCCGCAGACGTTCTGGATGGCGGTCAGGCCGGGATCGGGTATGGTCAGGTTGAGGCTGTCGCCTGCTGTTTCGGCATAGGGAGGTTCGCCTACCACGACAATGGCGTATGAGAAGTTGTTGGACTTGACGTAGTCTGCTGCTGGGTTCTCTTGGAACATGACTTGTGTGGTTGGGTCGACTGCGCCCTTTATGGCTGTAAGGATCGTGGTTCCTGCAGTTAGAAATACAGGGGACAATTGAATTGAGTTCGTACACTTTCATCTCTACGCTTCATTCGATTACTAGAGGAATTGAATTCAAACAAACCCTAGAGCTGAAAAGATTGTGTGTACCAGAGGTGCGATCGTTGCCCGTGAATCCCTGCCATTCGATTGACCATCCACCACACTGGTACCCGAGATTGTCAGCATGGGAACCGGCTACGAGTATCTTGGGAGCATTCTTAGCAAGTGGAAGGATTGGCTGCTTGCTATCCTTGCCGTTCTTCAACAGCACCAGTGATTTCCTCACAGCTTCTCTGGCCAATTGTCTGTGCTCCTGTCAAAGCGAATAAGAATTCATCGTGAAGTAGTTGCGATTTGAATACTCAGTCATGGATTGATAGAACTTGGCAGAGAATGAGAGTGCTTACTTGCTTGCCTAGTTCGTCGACCATGCTATCATCAGCCATTGGGTTCTCAAATAGACCCATCGCGTACTTAACCCTCAGAATCCTGCTTACTGCATCGTCGATTCTGCTCATTGGTATTACCCCTTTGTTCACGAGTAGCGTTAGATCGTCGATAAATTCTGTGTAGTTTAATGGAACCATCACCTGCAATGGTATTAGGAGGAGAAACAAGGAAAGCATCATCAAACACAAGCTGCTGCAACATGGCAGCATATATGAAATGAGACCAACATGCTAGTAGTTACCATGTCAATTCCAGCAGTAACTGCTTTCTCTACGGAGTAGGTGTAGTTAGCGTGTGGTGGGCTGGTAATCCGATCAATTCCTTGCCAGTCTGAGATCACAAAACCCTGACCAACACAACACAAACAAACAAACAATCATCAGTTCAGCAGCTTAATTGGCCAAAAAAAACACAGCTCTATTGAGCTGATAATGAAGAAGCAGGGGGCTAGTTTGTAGCATTTTACCCTGAAGTTGAGGGTGCCCTTGAGGTAGCCGGTGATCATGTGCTGGTTGGCGTGCATCTTGACGCCGTTCCAGCTCGAATACGAGATCATGACGGTGGAGACCCCTTTGATTATGGAGGTGAAATATCCTGGCATGTGGATCTTCCTCAGCCCGTTCCAGTCGATGATGGTGTTGTTCTCGTTGATCCCTTTCACCGTCCCGCCGTCACCCACAAAGTGCTTGGCGCAGGCCGCCACGTTCTTCCTGTATAAAATTAAATTCAAAGAGAATGTGATAAATTCATGAAATAATGTGAACTCCGTAACGTTACTTCCTATCATCCAAGCCACTCGATCAGTTGCTTGATAAATATCAAAACTACTGGTCAAAGAAAAGAAAGATTAAAATAGTAGTTTACTCAATTCTAAAACTTAGAAAAAGAAAAGAAGAAGAAGATTAGATGGGAAATTAGTGCCCAAAACAATGGTCCATTATCTTCTCCAACCTAAAATCGTGCATCCAACAATAAGCACAAAATGTACACGCATTCATCATTATAGTTTTGCTGAATGAAAAAATGGCAAGTGGGCACTTTATGGTGGAGGATTATCACTTATCAGTAAGTAATCACACATGATGAAGCAATTGACTGAACTTGAACATCTTAATTCAATTTCAAGAGTGTCACCAAATGGTTTCTCCTTCTCCACTTACTTTCCAGCAACAAAAGGAACTCCCTGGGGAGAATTGGCAGGAATGTCTCCTTGCAGCCCCGGGATGAGCTCTGTCATCGCCTTCACTATGTCAGGATCCTCGCTGTAACTCTCGTAGCACCGTCCCCATCTCGGATCTCTGCATACCTGCAAAAACCCAAATTCCTTCTCTTGTTAATCGATCATTCTGACGATGTTACGACATGTGAGACCGACAAACAAACTACTGACGAGATTCAACGAGTCAAGAAACAATATTCATGCTTTAACTCACCGCGATACAGGGCGCAAAGGCATACGGAATTCCGGTGGCTCTCATTTCAAGCGCCGTCGCCGCTCCAATCCTCTTCACCAGCGGCGGCTCCCTGGTAGCTCCGAGGCCGATATTGTGAGGGAAAATGGTGGCGTTGTACACATTGTTGTGACCGTGAACGGCGTCGATCCCGTAAATCATCGGAATCGCAAGCCTGGTCGACATAGCGCCCGTTTGAAACTCGTTGACCATGTTGATCCACGTCTCCGGCGAAGCTTTCTGACCAGGGACGCTTCCTCCTCCGCTCAGTATACTCCCTGCACCATAAAGTTGCAATCTTTTGCTCAAGAACAGGGCAAAAAACCAGACTTGGTGAAATTTACTCTGTTTTTTGTTCCTTTCTTACCGATGAAGTAGTTCTTCATGACGTCAGCTGAGGCGACGGAGCGATCAATCTGAACCATCTGGCCGATTTTCTCCGGCAATGTCATCCGACCCACCAAGTCCTTGATTCGGTCCTCGACCGGCTTGCTTGAGTCTTTGTACAGCAGGTACTCTGCATCCGCCGCCGCCAAAAACAGAGCAAGTATTACTGTTCCGAGCAGCAGAATCGGATTCTGCTTCTTCCTCGTGGTACCCATTCGGATTATTCCCATCGTGATGCTGTGGCCGGCACTCGGATTCTGAAAAATGAAGAAATCGGAAAAAATATATATATATGGTTTGTTGTAAGCAGCTGAAATACAACGCCTGAAGACGGCGGAAAATGCATAGATAGGGAAATGCAGCGTTTCGAAATTGAAGAATAGGTTAAACATTAAACATACAGATACAAGCACGGGTGAGGTGATAGGCGCTGAAGATGTTCACGGGGTGGAAAGAAATGTTTGTTGTTTGTCTTTCTCTTTTCTCAGGAAACAAACAGGGGAGGTGAAGATGTATATATAACGAATGAGAAACAGAGGAGCGAGGGGAAATTACAGAGAAAACTGCCAAAACGAGAATCGAGGGACTGGAGCAGAGGGTTTAGAGGAAGTTAAAGGAAGGACTTGATGGATGGAATGGGAGGGGTTTGCTTCCAAGACATGGGATTGAGGTTGTTGATTGCACGAACCCACGTATATATATTGATTCATCTTGTTTATTTCCATTGCTGTTTATTTGTCAATATGATTATATTTATTGGGGGTTTGAATCGGTAATCATCCGCTACTGTGTTTCTTCACATTGATTCCTCTTTTGTTTTGTTTTGTCTTCCTTTCCCCATTGCGGTGATTTGTTTTCAATTTTTTGGTAAGAAGATCTTAATAGTTTTCCAACAAAGTAAAAGGAAAATTTGTTAAGAAATTAAAGAGAAGACAACCAACTATTCATGATCGTTTGTATGAGGGGCTAAAATAAGGCGATTGTAGTGAATTTTAGCCCTTCCACCTCATTAAAATCTAATGAATCATATTAATTCAAAATAATGAAAGACATTGTAGTAATTGCATAATTTATTAATTTTCAATTATTAATTAAAAAAACCTAAAATGATCTCGCGTTTTCCCCGGCTGGGTTTTCGCCGCCCTGTCACCATCGGCGGGCAGGGATTTCTTTCCTGCTAGGTTCCCGGCGTCCTAGTCATCACCGGCGGTCAAGGATGCGTCGGCGGCCAGGGATTTGGATGTCACCATCGGGGCGGCTAGGGATTTTGTTCCTGTGGGATAGGGGATTTATATCTCATGCCCACATTTGTGTGTGGTTTCCTACAGAGAGTGATGTTTTTTCGTCATCGGCAAATTTTCCGGCGGCGACGGAGAGGATTTTCTGGCGATTGGAGATTTCCGGCGACAAACATCTGTTTTGTTATGTTTGTCAGAAGATTTTGTAATGTTTGTAAGTATGTTTTGTGATTTTTTATCAATTCGGTTTGTATCGTTTATCATTCTAGTTTGTCATTTTTATCTATTATGTTTGTAATGTTTATATGACTAATTTGTATACATTGTAATTTGTAATGTTTGTTTGTCGGGTTTGTATACTTTATGTTTTGATTTGTATACTTTGTATTCATTGATTTGTAATACAAGTTTATTGTTTTGTATTATAAGTAGTGGCATTTTGTAAAGTTAGTATGTTTTGTAATGTTTGTCGGTCTAGTTTGTATTGTTTGTATAGTTCGTATGTTTCGTATTGTTTGTAAATCAGTTTGTATGTTTCGTCGCTCTAGTTTGTATTGTTCGTATGTTTGTAAATCAATTTATATACTTCATAATTTTTCATGATACCCAAACTACCCCTATCATTAATTAAAAAGCCCTTCCCACTTTATAACCGTTAGATTGGTGCGTCCAGATCTAAGGGTTGTGAGGAGCTTAGTCAACAACCCTCTTTGCACCAGATTCGTCCTCTTTGTATGAGTCGGTTGTATGAATTATTTTGTACCAAAATTTATTTTATTGAGTCATTTGATTATAAATTACTCGTTCGCAATAGAAAAGAGAATGAAACATTTGGTTCCGAACTTCCAATGAAATCTCCAAATGAGTCCCTCATTAGCCATTTGTAATTAACTCGTTGGCTTCTTACCTACAATGACATTGCCTCTTTTCATAAACTCAATCACAATACTAACTCTTCTCTATTTTGCCTTCGTAAACCCAAAACTTCCCATTTTATTAATACTTTTCAATAATATATTCAATCATTTCCAATAAAATTGTCATTCTATTTTGAGTAAATACAATAACTAAATCTTTCATTTCAAACAAAATAATAGTGAACCTTTTCGAAAACAATTTAATAGCCCAATTGTCTACTTTCCGTCCGGTCAATTGTTAGATGTAAATGCACTGGATGGATTGAGAGCTTCCATGGCAACATCGGCTGGATGGAATGGAGCAGTAGATGGATCTGACCGACGCTGCTTGGGTTCATGTCATTGGATATATATATATATATTTATTTACAGGAAGATCTATGGATGGAGAAGAGGGAGTGGAAGGGATAAGAGAGTACTGGATCAATAGTTTTCAAAAAAATTATTAAAAATATTAATTAGTGAAAATCCATATATATCTGTATGGCGAAGTCACATGTTTAACTTTATGTCACATCACCAATGCCACATCAAAGTCAACTAATAGTCAACTAGACGAAAAATTGACGATTGGGCTATTAACAAAAATATTAGTAAATATTTTCTACTATTAGGATATGACTTGAATTTGATTTGAGTTTGTGTTTGGCTTCGTTTTGACCTTTTCCTTGTAGTTTTGGAAAAGGTGTTTGGTTTTCTGTTTGGGATTAGGAGAAGAGTTCTATAAATACTCTTCATCACTCTAGTTTGTAGAAAAGTCAGTCAGCTTAGTTTGTTTGGTTTGTCCGTTTCGGAATTTGGTTTGTAACCTGTACTCTCATCAAATTAGTGAAATTTGCTCTCCCCTGCCCGTGGATTAGCTAGCACGCATTGTGTTAGTGAACCACGTCAAATTTTTGTTCGTTTGTGTTGATGGATTATTGTTTGCACACTTCTGTTCTGACAAGTGGTATAAGAGCCTGGTCGATCAAATGGGCAATCAGCTAGGGATCGTGGTGACTGTTGCAGTATCAGGAGATAGTCTTCGATTTTCGGTTGGCTGAGGAACCCTTCAGGTTTTCTTCCAATTTGGTTTGTCGTGGATTCTTGTTTGTTTCCTTTTGAATTTGTTGCGGGGTCGAGAAAATTTGAAATTTGGCGATTTGGTATTGGTGGCGAAGCTAATTGGAGCTCGAAAGTAATTTTGGGGATCATTGTGTGCCGCAACACAGAGGAGAGGAGTTGTTCCTCTAATTAACTGGAATGGATCATTAATTGATTGTTTTTGTAAGCGTGATTTGGTGGGAGCAAATTGTGCTCTGCCTGTGGCTTTGGAATTTGGAATGTGAACGGCTATTTGCCGCCAAGCAAATTGCTATTTGCCGCCAACAAAAAAAAAAAAAAAAGAAATTTGAATTCAAATTTTGAATTTTCCCTCCCTTCCCTCCCTTTCATTCTATAAATTCGGATACCCATGAACATTTAACTCATTCCAACAAAAACTTCTGTTGACGAGCCCAGTGCCTCCGTCGCCGGCACCGTTCTTCCATCGTCGGCTAACCTCCCGTCGCCCTCAATCGTCGGAAAACAAGTAAGTTTATTTTTTCCGGCCAGTTTTCCAGTTTTCCGGCAAGTTTTCCAGTTTTCCGGCGAAAAACAGGGCGGGCCGAAAAAAAATTGCGGCCGGAGCGTCGGCCGGCCGAAAAAAATTTTCGGCCGGTGCGACGGCCGGCCGAAAAATTCTTTCGGCCCGGCGACGCCGCGGCCGCAAATTTTTTTCGGCCGGTCGCCGACCTCGCCGCTCAAAAAATTTCCGGCGGCGTGTTCGTCGGCCGGCCGAAAAAAATTTGCGGCCGGGGCGTCGCCGGGCCGAAAGAAATTTTCGGCCGGCCGTCGCACCGGCCGAAAAATTCTTTCGGCCCGGCGACGCCGCGGCTGCAAATTTTTTTCGGCCGGCCGACGCTCCGGCCGCAAATTTTTTTCGGCCCGGCGGCGCACCGGCCGCAAAATTCTTTCGGCCCGGCAAGTTTTTGTATTTAATTTAATTTAATACGATAATTAATTAATAAATAAATAAATACTTAATTGGTTAGTAGAAATTAGCAATTAGTGTTAATATTTATTTCAGTTGGTTTATAAATATTTTTTTTTGTAATAGGCGTTTGAATGTTTAATTACTTAGATTAGTTAATGGAATTTTAATTAATTAAGAATTGATTTAACAATTAATGTTAATATTCAGTACATTAGTTAATAGAAATTTAATTTAATTTCTTTCGGCCCGGCCAGTTTTTGTATTTAATTTAATTTAATACGATAATTAATTAATAAATAAATACTTAATTGGTTAGTAGAAATTAGCAATTAGTGTTAATATTTATTTCAGTTGGTTTATAAATGTTTTTTTTGTAATAGGCGTTTGAATGTTTAATTACTTAGATTAGTTAATGGAATTTTAATTAATTAAGAATTGATTTAACAATTAATGTTAATATTCAGTACATTAGTTAATAGAAATTTAATTAATTTGTGATTAATTAACAATTGATGTTAATATTACATTAGTTAATAGAAAATTAATTAATTAGTGCGCATCTAAGTATGATATTTTGTAAATTTGTAGATAATTAGATATGGATGATGCGGGTCATGCGGGTGGGGATGAGTTGAATAGATTCAATGGTAGGGTTGTTGATGTATCAGCACGAAGGAAGAATAAGGAGAATAAGCGCTCTCGAGATATTGGACATCAGTCACAGGCAAATTTAGGGGAGGATGAGTTAGAGGCTCCTACTGTAGTTGCTCGTTCGGCATCACGGGCGTCTGGTTCCCATGGGAGGAACCAGGGTGCTGCATCCAGAGTGGTCTCGGCTGAGTTTGATGAGGACGATAGTGATGAGGATATCGAGGTCCCTCCACCTACGCGTGGACATGGACGAGTGTCGTCTCGTACGGCAACATCACGTCCTGCTTTGTATAGGGACCGAGCTGGGCGCTTCGTACCACCTGCTCGTCAGGAGACAGAGAGCTCGGGGACTGGACGGAGTAGGGGAGGACGTTCGAGTGGTCCTCCACCGTGGGAGCTTGTTGGTGAGTGTCCTGGTGGACCTACGGATCCTAGCCTCATTAGGAGCTTTCGTGGACACGTTGCCTATGCGCTTTGGACGGGGGCTGGAGATCGATGGGTCATCAGTTGCTACAGCCGTACATCGGCGGTTGCTTATTTGAGTAGCTACGTGTTTAGTCATGTTGAGGCGGAGAATCTAGTTCAGCAGTCAGGTCTCCAGCACCTGATGTACTCTATGTTCCGCAGGATAGCGATTGACGATGCTTTGATCTCAGCTTTTGTGGAGAGGTGGCAGCCAGACACGAACACCTTCCACTTGCCTTTTGGAGAGATGACGATCCTCCTCCACGATGTTCAGTACTTACTGCAGATTCCTGTTGAGGGACGACTGATGAGTAGGAGTTCTGCGCAGCTTGACCATCCGGAGGCGGGTTTGTGTGCGCTTCTTGGGATGAACTCGGAGCAGTTGAGTGGTCGTACGGAGGTCCCTGGATATAATAATAGGGGTAAGTGGTACGAGAAGGGTGGTTTTCTTGCAGAGATGGCGTCCAGATACTTGCAGAGCCACGGGACACATGTGATAGAGGCGCAGTCGTACTTGTTGTTGTTGTTGGGGTCCACTTTGTTTGTGGACAAGAGTAGAGACAGGGTTCGGTCGGTGGTGAACCTATTTTTGGACGAGTTGGAGGAGTTAGATCAGTATAGTTGGGCGTCAGGTACACTTGCTTGGTTGTACAGATACCTTGGTCAGGCGTCTCGTGCTGGTGCCAGGGGGATGGCTGGTTGTCTCACACTTCTGCAGTGTTGGATCTACGAGTACTTTCCGGGTTTCAGGCCATCTCACTTCGAGCCTGCCGCCGTTGGACCTGATGATGCTTGGGCTTCACGATGGATTGGGCAGCCGGCACCTGGTTCTGTGGCGGATCCCAGTGTGAGGTTGGCGTTCTACCGTCGAGCTCTTGACAGCTTGACCCCTTCTGATGTGTTTTGGACACCTTTCCATCAGAGGCCTCATCAGGCAGTGCGTCGCTCTTTGTACACTGGAGTCATCCGGTTCGCTGACATAGGCGAGTTCTACGATCCAGCCCGTTGCCTCCGACAGTTTGGATATGTTCAGATGGTACCGCCTGCCCCTTCGCGTCCTCAGCGAGCAGACCGACCAGAGGCACCTGGTGGATATGTCCTTCGGATTCCTGAGAGTTTTGATGCTGCATGGGATGCTCTGCTATCCCACATGATTCATATAGACATGTACTCTCGGCCGTGGACGACGTATCCATATGAGACTACGAGAGACTATCTTGACTGGTTCGTGGCGCACTCTCATTGTAGAGTCCTACGGGATGATGAAGAAGCAGATCGACTTATTGACTCCGCAGCGGTAAGATTTGACCATTATATCGTTACTCTATTATAAATATACTTAGCATGAAACTAAAAATTGTTCTTGTTTCTTTTTTATGCAGCGTGGTCGCGACCTTTTGTACACGTTTGCACCTGCGGTTCGAGCAGCAGCAGGGACCGAGGAGGAGTTTCTTGAGCATTATCGACGAGCCTACAGGGCACTGCACGGAGTGCAGGATGTGTGGACTGAGTACTGGGCTTCTCAGGGACTCCCCCCTCCTCCAGGGGATTTTTAGTTGTTTTGATGTTTCCATGTTTGACTACTTATGTGTGGACTGAGTACTAGATATTAAACCAATTACTCACCTGTATCATGCTCGTCGGATTCACCTCCACTCGATCGGGATCACCTCCACTCGATCGGGATCTGCCTCCACTCGATCGAGATCTGCCTCCACTCGATCGGGATCTGCCTCCACTCGATCGCCCCCTACCTCCACTCGAACCAGGCCCAGTACTCCTCGAACGAGACCGCTCATAATATGAACGAATGCGACTGGTGCTTGTTCTAGGGCGTCCTCTCGGATTCTCATTCACTTCCGGTTCCCTCACATTGTCCTCTGCTGGATGAAGCCCATAGAATAGGGCATCTCTTGCTTGTCTCACTGCTTCAGGACCTCTTTCTTCCACCTCAACAGTAAGACGCCTAAAGTGTTCTCGTTGAAGCTCAATTTCATCACTGACTTGTTGTTGACGTGGGGGATTTTTATAATCCAAAGTCCGCCAAAATACATGCAACTCTTGAGCATAGAATTGACGTCCTTCTTCCTTAGCTTGAACAATCTGGCAAGCACACTTGAGCCCATGTGTCATCTGAAAATGACACGCACAACTGTCCTTCAACTCCGCCGCCCCATCTAACATCAGTTTGATTGCCTCAGAACTAACGACCCTCCTCAAAAACGTGCACGGAGCCTCAATTGCCCTACTCAGATTGCGGTTCAGTGACTTGTGCAGTTCATTCACCACTTCCAGAAACTGATGTTCCATGTAGTTGTGGTTCTTCGCAAAACAAGTGTCGATCGCTCCTCTACCAGACACAAGGAAAGTCTTGAATGAAGAGTGAGATGACTCAACTCTATTCGAGCTCGTATTACCAAGATGAAACACATGGTTCGTGTAGCACATTGCCCACATTGTCTGATGAGGCAACCACTCACCTCGCACATAGTCGACCATTTTTTTGTTCTTCACTGTCCAGACCCTCTCAAACTCATTAATCTTTTGAAGAAAACCCTCCTGAGTCCAACTCCATGCAGCTTTGTCGAAATATTTCTTCCATACCGCATGTGCTACCTCTCTTTTTGCAATTCCACCAAGTAACACTTCAAACTTTTGCTTCACACAGTTGTTGACGTGCCATAAACATAGTAGGTGGACAGTATGTGGGAGAGGGAAGACCACAGGAATAGAAGCAAGCAAACCACCTTCTTTGTCTGTCACAATGACATTCGGAACCGTATCACCGAGCAACCCTTTAATACATCGCAGCAGCCACTCATATGTTTCCTTTGTTTCCTGCTTAATAATTGCACATGCAATGTTGAAATTCTTCTTCACTGGAGTAACCCCAATAATCTCAACCCATGGCCAGCCGTACCTGTTGGTCTTGTAGGTCGAGTCAATGAGGATGACGTACGGCCATGCATGCAACATCTGAATGGACGTCGGGTGCGCAAAAAACAGATTAGTGAGCACATTATTAGAGTCCTTTTGCAAACAGATATGGTACCCACGATGTTCAGCTCCGTGAAGCGCAAACTGTATCGCATCCATTTCACCCATCTCATCCAATCTTGTCTTGGAATTTATGTTGTACATCTGTTTGATATCATGATGCACACCCCCTTCAGTATTGAGTGTCGTCTTCTGCTGATTTGGTCTCACCCCCGCCTTCCTCATTAATCTTAACCTCTCTTTTTCAGCCTCACTAAAATGTTTGTTGTGTCGGTGATGTTCTGGATACAACACCTTTTCATGGTTGTGAAACCCTCTATTAGCTCCGGTTTCACGACTTGTCACTCCCACCATGACCCATGTGTTTGGACCATCCTTTTGCCATACTTCCTTTATACATATCTGAAACTGGCAACCAGTACCCTTCGAACTAATATTCTCACGCGTCTCCTTCGTAGGGTCTGGTTTATAAGACTTAACGATCCTACTACTTCTGTCGCAATACATACAGAGAGCAGTAACAGGATTCTGTCCAGCAGTATTCGGTTTCCATGATCCTCTAACAATAAAGAACCCACACTGCTGAGCGATTGTTCTTGCAGCTAACTCAGCTAACTCCACACTTGCATAATGGATCCCATTCTCAAATTCATGTGTGTAATCATGATCGGCCGGTAACAACTCTGACATTTTTCCTACAATTACAATATAATATATCAATATTCCTGTGAACCTAAACGCTAATTTCAATTCTTAACCGCTAAATTCAACTCCTAAACTCTAAATTCAATTCTTACACGCTAAATTCAACTCCTAAACTCTAAATTCAACTCCTAAAATCGAATTTTTCCGAAAAATTGCAAAAACAGACTGTGAGCCGAAAATTTCCGGTGGCCGGAACCTGGCCGGGCCGAAAATTTCCGGCGGCCGGAACCTGGCCGGGCCGAAAATTTCCGGTGGCTGGAACCTGGCCGGGCCGAAAATATCTTGCGGCTCAGCCTGGTTCCGGCCGCCGGAATTTTTCGGCTCGGCCAGGTTCCGGCCACCGGAAATTTTCGGCCCGGCCAGGTTCCGGCCGCCGGAAATTTTCGGCCCACCGTTTGTTCGTTTCAAATCGTCGGAAAAATTGTTCGAAACTACAAAAAAATTACGCACCTGCTTAGTGATGATTCATTGATGCGTGTACGCAGTATATGTCGAGGATAGGCTTTCCCGATGATCTTCCGGCGACTTTTCCGGCGAGCGTTGAATTTTTCTGATTCAATATGTTCTCTGAAAGTTGGATATGTTGTAGATTGTGAAACTCCTTACCCTACTATGTATATATATACTTATTTTTTATTTTTTTTTTTTGGTTGGCGGCAAATAGCAATTTGGTTGGCGGCAAATAGCAAGCCCCATTTGGAATTTGTGAGGTAACAAGCAAAGGCTACACAATTGAGTTGGGTTACAAATGGAAGAGCTGCACCGGTTCGAATTTGCCGCGAAGTTTTTTTTTTTTTGCGCCGTTTGGAATTCTTTGAAGGTTGTACCAGTTTGATGCGCTTTGGTTTGTTTTGGAATTAGTTGGTTGGGGTTAGGGTTTTCGATAATCAAGGATGTTTGTTATGGATTTGAAGATCGAGAAGTCAATTTGGAGTTGCAGGCTTGGGGTTAGCAGTAAATTTGATGTTGGTGTTATGGACGGAAATAACACCAAGTTGGTTCTGCATGGCAAGTCCCAACATGGGTTAGACTTGCTGCATGTTTTGATTTGTTAACCGTCCTTAGGGGCATTTAGAGGCAGGGGAGTCTGGTACAACTGATTTGGAGGAGTTTGGTACGTCTGGCAATTTGATTGCATTTGAGTTTGGTGATTTGCATCGCATTTGAGTTTGACAGTTTCGATCGCATCTGGGTAAATTTGGCGATATGTATCGCGTGTAGGTACATCTGGCAACTTTGGTTGCGTCTGGTACATTTGGTATTTGAAAGAGAATTCAAGTCAAGGTGGAGATTGTTAGAATATGACTTGAATTTGATTTGGGTTTGTTTGGTGCTTTGGGCCTATTCTGTTTGGGTTTATATTTGGGCTTTGTTTTGACCTTTTCCTTGTAGGTTTGGAAAAAGTGTTTGGTTTTCTGTTTGGGATTAGGAGAAGAGTTCTATAAATACTCTTCATCACCCTAGTTTGTAGAAAAGTCAGTCAGGTTAGTATGTTTGGTTTGTCTGTTCCAGAATTTGGTTTGTAACATGTACTCTCCTCAAATAGTGAAATTTGCTCTCCCCTGCCTGTGGATTAGCTAACATACATTGTGTTAGTGAACCACGTCAAATTTATATTCATTTGTATTGATATGGATTATCGTTTGCACACTCCTGTTCTGACATTTACATTAGCGATAATGGCTACTATGTAGCTAGGGGTGGTAAATGGTTTAACGGTTAACGGTATAACCGGTTACCGAACCGGTATACCTTTAACCGGTTACAACAAATTCGGACGGTATTCGAACTCCATATAGCTTGTCCCGGTATACCGGTAACCGGTTTCAGAAACCGGCGTGTTAACCGGATACCGATAAGCTAACTGGATACAAGCAACCAAAACCCCTAATTTTGATATGCCCCCCATTCTTTCCTCTCCATCTACCACCAGTCCATTTCCTCCTTCTCATTCTTTCCTCTCGACCTGCCCCATTTGAGATTTACCTTCTTCTCTTCTCATGGGCCATCTCTCTGGTACAGTGTACTGACGGAAGTAAAGGAATGGTGCGAAGCGGAAGGGACTTCTTCTTTCTTCTCATCCTTTCTGGAGTTTGGGGCAAAATCAGAGGAAGAAAATCAAAGAGCGATAGAGATTTCCGGAAGAAGATGGACATGCATCGCCTTTCTCCACTCCTCCGCCCTACGCCGCCATCGCTACGTCTCCCGTTCCATATCGGCTTCCCCGGCACCATCGTTGTCGCCATCGTCTTTCCCGACACCATCGCTGTCGCGTCCGTGTTGCCAGCTTCAACCATCGAATCAACGGCAATCAAGCCACCATCGAGATCTGATCGGACATCGTCGCTCAGCCTCTTTCACAGCCGCCGTCGATATCACAGTCCGGGTACTCTGTTTTCTCGATTCGCCGATTCGCCCACGGTAAGGATGCATGTTTAGAGGGATGCGATATCGCCGATTCGCCACCAGATCTGGAACTCGTCGCTTGAAAGCTTGAAAGTCGGCGGTGAGAGAGGTTTGGGGTTGGGAAACGGGAAATCAAATTTCTCCTTCTTCATCTACGCAAGCTAGCAACACCCTTTCGGGTAACCGGCAGAACACCGATAACCGGATGATTCGGTAACCGGTATTACCGTCTCCAAGTCTGTATCGGCAATCAACAGGATTTTGCTGGGGTACGGTATACCGAATACCGGTTAATTGGAACCGGTTAACCGGTAACCGACCGATTACCACCCTCTATGTAGCCACCATAGCTGCTCCCTTGTATTTGCATATGCTAAGTGAGGAAAAGAATTTTCTCCGGTTGGAACTTGGAATAGGTTGGCGTTTGTTAGCTTGTTAATGGATTTTTCTTCTATGTTGTTAATTAAAATATTAAATAGAATTTGGAGAGTATCGCCAAATGCATTACTGACGGAGAGAATCCTGTAAGGAGGAACTTAAATGGAACAACTGAACTCAACTATGGTAGAATAGACGGCTTAAAGTTGTGGGGATACAAGGTCTTTATTGTTATTTTCTACCTCTCTTACTTATACTCAAACGTCTTAAACATGTCCATTCCACATTTGGAGATTGTGTAAAGAAATTATAAACAATTCTATTTTCAGTATTAGTATAAATGAATAGTTAAAAATTTTATTTCGAGTTCTCGTAGTAGAACCTTCGATTGAGATGTTATGTATTTTAATTCTCACGACTTTTAATTATTTATTTATGTATAATTTATGACGGGTCTGTGCAAATTTCAAGATGTCTAAAACATATCCATTCCACATTTGGAGATTGTGTAAGTGACTCGCTATGTTACAACTCCTAACAAACGCCAAGTGTAACCAATGAAAGGGACTGCAGTATAGTGGCTCAAGTAATAAATATCGAATCCACGGGTCTCTAGAGTTACTATTACTCAGCTTCAGTTCATTATTTAGCAAACCAGATTAATAAGGAAGAACTAAAACTACTCTAGCAAACTACAGTTAAAGTTAATCTAATTACAGGTTGGGAACTCACTTAGGTATGATTCCCCCTAGCCACTAGCCAGACTAACAATTGATGATTTCTAACTTGTTTCACTTTCATTCATAATGCGGAGAATCCTTGGCTAGACCTTGAGTCTCGACTAAAGGAACAGGGCCATCTTGAGTCAATTGCCTAGAGGGACGTATCCTTCTCTAGAATAACCGATCAAGGCATTCTGAACTAGATTCCCTCTATCGAAAGAGGTTCTCAATCGATACAAAGCAGTGAATCAACCCTCAACTAAAGCAATCGATCCACTACTACCAATCTATGGTGCTCTATTGACCTAATCAGGTATTCGCTCTCATAGGATCAAAGCAGAATCAATAATCTCGACTAAAGCAGAATTGAATCATGAAAACATGCATAGATTGAATATAAACTCAAGGTTATCAAGTCAGAGTACTCATACAATCATCCAATCAAACAAACATAGCTAGGGTTCTTCAAAACCTAAGTGAAGGGAAGTTACTCCATAGAGAAGAGAGAGACAATAGTAAGAATCTTCAGATGATAAGTCTTCAAGTCCGGGCTTGTTCCTCGAGCTTCCAAGGCGAAAAAATCCTCCAATTCCACTCCAAGAATGCCCTCAAATCGCCATCTCTCTCTTTGGTTCGTCCCTTGGGTGTTTGAGATCCAAAACCCTGCTCTCTCTTTCCTTTGGCTCGAATCTGCCTCAAAAACCCGATTCTGGGCGAAATACGGGCAGAAATACGGTCGTAATTCTTCCATGCCCGTATTTTGCCCAAAACACGCGTTTTGGTTAAGTTTCAGCGCATCCAAAGCTCCTCTCGGCAGTGAAAATACGGGCATGGGAGGGGAAATACAGTCGTAATTCTCCTGCCCGTAATTCTTCCTCCGCCCCTGTTTAATTCTTCGTTTCTCCCTCGTCTGGACTCTGAATCAGTCGCCGTTTGAACCCAGACGCTCTTAGTCTCATCCTCTTTCTTTTCATAACAAAATTACATGATTATTTGTCCATAATATTAGGTAGAAGTCCATTCTTCCTCAGGTCATGCTCGTGTTTCTTCTCCCGAATTGCCAAATGATCTCCGATTAACTTGAAACTTGCGTCTTTGCTTCAATTTACATGCAAGGACCTGAAATGTGACAAAGGAACACAACCTAGCATAAAATAGTCCAAGAAAGCAAAAACTCAAGCCAAAATGATCAAGAAACGAGGGTGCAAACATGTGCAAATACGATGTTATCAGTAAGGGAATTAGAAACAATTCTATTTTCAGTATTAGTATAAGTGGTATAAGATTTTACTTTGAGTTCTCGGTAGCAGAACCTTTGATCGAGACATTATGTGTTTGAACTCTCACAACTTCTAATTAAAGATTTATGTATATGTTATGATGGGTCTGTGCAGATTTCAAATTTCTAATTTGACTTTTATTTGGAGGCGTGAAACAAATTTATATAGAATTTTAACTTCATTTATTTCTAGAGGTGGCAAATGGATGGAATGCATGGAATGGCGGATTGGATTAGTAGATCAATAGATCAAGTGGATTTGATTAAATGGACTAGTGGATTTATGGATTGGATCATATGGATTGGTGGATTGATCGATGGATCCAAATGACATCAAAAACTTGGACCAAAATGTAAATTTTGAAAAGTTTAGGTACTAAAATGTTACTAGAAAAATATTTAGGTATCGAAGTGTAATTTTATAATAACTTTTTTATATAAAAAATAAATTTTATATACCAAAATATAAAATATAAAAATTATAGGTAATTAATTGTAATTTGTCATTTGGATCCAGATCAATGTATGAATCCACAAATTCAATTAGATTTGAATCAAATGAATCTTATTAGTTGGAGTTGGATATTGAAGTGAATGAATTAAATTGAGAATTGTCACCTCTACTTTTTCTCAATAATTTAAATTATTGGGAACAACCGGCTCTCCTTCAAATGTTCGTTAGGTACCATACATCTTCATATCTAGTTTCAAAGAATATCAACTATACCTAAGCACGCAAAACTTTAATTGCAATAACTTCGTCTTTCTTCTTGATCTCATGGAGCTGTTATTATTGAGTTACTAGTATAGATACCCACGGCTACGCCGCGGGAGATATAACCATGTTTACTCTTCATTAGCTTTCGAAATCTACACTAAAACTACCTCAAAGTAATACCTTTATACACGTGAAACTCATTATTTCATATATTAATTCAATCCATACCCAAGTTATCTAATTTGAGCAACCTTCATTAGAAGAAAAAAAAAAAAAAAAAAGCAATCTTCAATTCGTACACAGAGAGCAGGTCCTCAGCTTACTAAATGACCTGTTCAGCAACTTGTCTTTCAATTACCCAATGTCGACGACCATTGATAATGAGCAACAAAAGCAGGTTCTCAGTGATCCTTACTGGTAAAGCTCTTGATCCGTACTAACTGAACTAATCTATCATGCTATCAGAAGAGTTTTTTGGCGACCACTAAGTGCAGACAAAAGAAGGCACCACCTCTAAATGGAGTAATTAGATATGCCGAACATCACCGCGGGTACAAACTTCAGTAATGCTTTTCGGGGGAAAATCATGCTACTATAGTTTTTGCTTTTTATCATACATCTTCAGCATCTTTTTGCGTATGAACTTCACAAATGTTCTCCAAACTGGCACCATTATCCTTCAGATAGGATATGAAAGTTTTGAAATTATCTACAGTTGGGCTATAAAGACCACTGTAAGGAGAGGTTTACTGAGATAAAAAAAAAAGTCTGTAAATAGTGGAAGGAAGGTTAGCTGCTTGTTTCAGAAGTTATTCTAAGAAAAAGTTAGGGTTCGCTAACAAAGGTATTTTTTTTTTGTTTCTTTTATTATATCAAACCATATCTCTACTGATAAAGCTCTTGAGAGCCATACCTTATGAACTCCTTGCTCTGCAACCAGCCTTCTTGCAGACTGCAGCTAATGTAGCACCACCGCGTAGGAAGCTTGAGTGATGGAATGTGCCCTTCTTTTTCCTGAAAATTAAGTAACATCATAGTTTACCGTTTATTCCATAATATGAGTAAGCACATTTCTTAAGTCAGAATGCTTACTTCACCAACTCACAAACTCTTAAATGTGCTCACGAAAGCTTACTTAACCAACATACAAACTCTTAAACGTGCTCATGAAAGCTTACTTCATAAGCATGCAGTCTCCTTTGCATAGGCTGCTAGAAGGGGTTGCTTCCATTTGGCTAACTGAATGAGTTCTGAATGCATTTGGTTCATCTCTAGGGTTCCTTGTATCCGGTAACCCAATAGTATAGAGGTTCCTGTAACCCAATATCACACAATATTACACTAAATTGAACCCAACAGTGAAGGGAAACATAAGTTGCTGTAGAGGAACCCATCGAACTTGTTCGTAGGCAAACTGAGGGCTTGAACGCTACCCAGTTTGGAGAGCTCGAGAAAATTATGCAGAGGAAGACCAAAGAAGGGCGATTAGCTTCTCCATCTTATTGTCTTTGAGGGTTGTGACAACCCAGGATACAACGGCTTCATTGTTCTGGCACAACGTTTCTGGTGGGACTCTGCTATCTCCCTGTTGCGGAAGCGTACCCTGTTCAAAATAGCAAGAAAAAAACTAAAAACAAAGCACTTCCATAGGATCCATCCAAGAAGTAATAAGGAAGGGTTGAAGCCTCACGGCTGCACTCGTGGAGTGCTCAGACGTCGTACTCGGGGCTAGGCCGTGGAGCTACTATGGTATGCTACATGATGCCACATGCTTGTACATATACTCTTGGGTTTTCAAATGTTCTCGTCCTTTCTTCCATTAGTCAAACCTGCGAAGAAGAAAGAAAAAAATGAAACAACTTCTTTTAACTGGGTTTGGGACATTTCTGGTTTATGTGTATATGAAGGGAGGAAACAGTACCATTTCTATGAACTTGAGAGAAAAAGTCTTGGCATAAAATCTTGAATCTTTGACTTCATCCATAACTCCTCCAGTGTTTGAGAGATGTCTGTTCTTCCTTGTAGTTCATCCTTGTTAATGGGTTGTTCTAGTACTTTGTACATCACTTCAGGAACCTAATTGTGAACAGTATAAGCCATAGCCAATCCCATAATCAGTTAGATTTCATCATTTAATGGAAGGGGAAACAGAACAAATAGCAAGATCACATAAAAGGTTGAGGAGATTACAGAGTGCTACATCCTTCTTCCTAGTAACCTTGGTCCTATTCTTTCCCCAAAAAACCTGCGGTCAATGAGAACCCCAAAAATAAGTGAACAACTACATAAAAATGGGCCAAAATAGCAGCTAGTAGCAGCAGAATTGCAACATAAAAGCACGATAATACAACATCAACATAAATTTCCCCAAGTTTCAACTTTAATTCTCACATAAACCAATCAACATTCGGGGTAGATCACAAACAACTTTCAGACACTTGACCAATAGCAAGCAGACATGAGAATCAAACAACAGTTGAGGGACAAAAGAAAAGAGGCAGTAAATAGCATTCCGGGGCTGTTATTTTGATCACCTCTCCTGCTGGGTGTCTTCTAAATCTTGCGGCCACTGTAAGAAACCTAAACAAAGAAATTAACGAACAATGTATAAGCAGCTTCTTGAATTATGAAAGAAAAATCAAAGACTGTAGAAACCTTAGAGATCAGCTCTAAGAACTTTCTACACCCATGGGGAAAAAATAGTGTTAGTAAAAGGAAAACAGCAAGGTCTACAACACCTTATCACCTTATACCTATTGCTGCTTTCAATTCTGAAGGAGTTTTTAGTTCAAATTTGGTTGATCATCGAATCTTAGAACCTTTCTGTCAGCTCGTTTCCCAAACCACCAACATCCCTGCAGTAGAAATGGAACAATCCCCCCAAATTAAAGTTCACTAACAGCTAGAGCCACACTTGAGAACATACAGAAACTAAATGAGCTTATACCTTTAGTTTTAGAAAAAAACCATAGAGAAGAACCTCTCCATCAGAACCACTCCTTCCAATAGCCACCCAATCCTAAATGCACAATAAATCGAAAAAGGTGGAAAGAGGTGGGGGTGAAGAACTGGACAGTAAATGGGGCGGAGACGAATATGTAAATGGAATAGGAAGCAGGAATGAGTCGTGAGAAGAAAAGCAGAGAAAGCAATCAGCCTCGGCGATCCCTCAAGGAGCCAAGCAAGGCTATTAAAGCACGATTCATGGGGCTGGCGTGTCTGGAAGAGGGTTTGTCAGCGGTGCCGTGTGTCAGCAACAATGACGACCCTGGAACACGGAAAAGGCGAGGGAGATGGTGAAAGGACGGCAGGATGAAGAGGAGAGGTGCAGCTGCAGTTTTGCGAGTACGATCGGCATGGGCGTCTGCTGGAGAGAAAAGTTAGGGGCCGGTCATGGCGGCCAAGGTTTCGGTTGGGGGAAGTTATTTGGCGAAGCCCTTAAACCCACAACCACTAAACGACACGAAGTGAAACAGTACTCGAACAATGGGAGCATAAAACGTACCCACCTTTTATCTATAGAAGAACTAGGGTGGTTTGAATTTATGCTTAGTGCTTGAAAGGAAGGAGGAGCATATGGTCTGTCAATCCTCTCACAAGCTCAGTTCAGCTCATTTATAAATCTAAATGGTCAAATTTTAAGTTAAACTTTAAAATAATTTATGAATGAAAAAAAAATTTCGTTGAATATTTATGAATGAATGAAATTCCTTAAGATTTATATCATATATACATGTGATCAATCTCATGGTAGAAAAAGAAATATAATAAAATTTTAAACGCTAACCTATTATTTTCATATTATTTATTTCATAATTTTTAATTAGTCTATATCATGTTATTTAAAAGTAATATCATCTAACTAATTTGTAATACATATTATTTTTAGAAAAATATATATGACATATTTGATTACGTACTCAAAGTA